CTTTTTTGTTTTGCCTTTCTTTATATCCCCAGCATTTAGCACAGTGCCTGGCACTTAGGAAATGCTTTTATTGACTTGTCTTGACCTGACTTCTAGCTTTAATAGTCTATGGTTGGAGTAAGGTCAGAGAATCAGAAAGGGAAGAAAAAAACCTCTGAGCTGTTATAATAAAACCCAGTGCCTTGATGCCCATGTACTTTAATCTGTCAGAAAAGCCCCGAGGCCACCATTTGGAGCTTATTGACTTTCACTTTATACACAATTCTAACAACCTTGCATATTTGATTTCTCAGACCACATTGCCATTAGAAGAAGGAGTGACCAAGGCAGGCATAGGGACGGCTGACAGCTTGACGTCAAAGAAAGAGACAAAAAAATTGCTGTAGTGCAGCATAGCAAATTAAGTGATGGTGGTAATGATGACATGGGGGTATCAAGCAAAGGTCAGACTTTGGTACACCCTGTTTTAAGGGATGAAGGAAGTGGAATATATTCACGGAAGACTTTGATTTAAAATGGCTTTTTAAAATGATACTTTTAAAGGATATGCTTCAGTTATCTGGAAAATTCATTTCTGTGGAAGACCTGGTTCCCTGGGGAATGGGAAGTAAATGAAGTGTTACTGTAGTAGAAAGCCAATGAATTGGTAGAAAAATGACTTTGGAGAAATAGAATTTCACTCTACAGCTAAGGGGGGGGAAACATCACTAGTTGCATAGCCCAGACAGCTACAGTGCTAATGTTTCTCTGGAGATCAACCTTATGCCCACAAACAGAAACAAAAGAATCCTATCTGACTGAAAGCTAGCTTTTTACACTTAGATACTTTCTGTACACATGGGGTTGAATTCTCTAATGACTGACACTATTGAAATCAGCTTCCTTCACAGAAGTTCTTACTATGGCATAGCAAAAACAAAAAACCAAACTTTGCTGCTGCCAAAAATAGCAATAACTCACAGCTACCAAATGGGGCTAGTTAACCAAGCCTGTGTCTTTTATCTAGTTCTTCTTGCTATGTATTTTGGAACTTTTAGTTGTAGGTTTCTTAACTCCTAGACTAGTTTTCTATTCAGGAAAATTGTGCTGCTTTTATCATACTTCAGAATAGTTTAACCTTCTCCCTCATCTGCTAATGAAAAACTTACTTTAGTAAACAGCTGACTTCAGTGGACCAAGAGAATCCAGCAAAAAAGCCCTGAGTTTAGACTGTAACATGTTTCAGTGTTGCTTTTTCCTTCTTGAAGTGACCCAGGGCTTGTAGAAATGGACGGAATTTTCCTATTTGCCTAAATGCTTTTATCACCAAGATGCCTAGTCTTAAAATCTAGGCTAAGTAAATTTAGGATTACCCTTCTTAAATTGTTAGAGTCATCTAGACCATTTTTCTTTCTTAAAGTGATGTTTGTTCTGGCTTTGGGATTGCTCAGATTGTTTATCCATGTGAAGGAGAAAGAAGGACTCTAATGATGGAGTCTGGCTGCCTGACCCAGCTGCATTTGATTTAATCGATATTCCCATGATACTGTATTTTGCTAATCATTGATTGTTACATTCTGTGAAGTACTTTGAATAGTCAGAATGTTTTTGCTGCCAGCCAAGGTCAATTCCTTTGGAAACCAGATTCATTATGATCCTTGAAACTGTAATTCCTAAGTCTGTTCAAGAGCATGAAGTATTAAAATGCTTGTTAAAACCCCAGCACTCAAAAGAGAAAATGACTCCCCTCCTGCAGACAGGACCTTAGCAATAATCTGATTATGCTAATAAATGGATTATCTGATCATAGGGCTACTGTTGAAAAACAAACACCGAAGAATTGGCTTACTTTTCACTTTTCAGCACCCTGTGCAGGTAGGCCCCCTTGAATTTTCAACACAGTCAATTAATAATCAACTTCCTTCACATAAATACCTAATTTGGTCAAAGTGAGGGAAACCCACTTGTTATATAATACCTTGCATGTAGGTATTCAATAAAAAAAAATACGTATATTTGCATTGCTATTAGTTTGCACAATTATGTAAACATTTTAGTTCTTTTGAAAGGATACAAATAGCTCTATGCCTTTTGAATGAAGGATTTTAAGATAAAAAGTAATAGATTGGGTATGTCCAGGTTGGACATTGTTGGATACCTGTTCAACAAAGTTGTGCAAATCTTGGGACAGAATAAAACCTTGAGGAATTTAAAAAGGGAAGAACTCCAGGTCTTACATATCCTGCCAAAGAGGGTATTCCCATTCTTAAGTGTATCTTGGCTATAAATTAGAAAAAAGATCAGTGGGGAATGATGGAATGAGGAGAAACATCTCCTGATAGGTTGGAATGCGTTGTGACTTTGATCTGACTGTTTCTCTACTGTGTGAAACGGATGGTAGTTGAAATCATTGCCTAAAGCTTACAGATTCCAAGATTTGACTCTTGAGAGATTCACTCTGTTACTTCTGGCATCAAAGCAGGTCCTGTTATACCATTTGAGAAGAAGGGAGTCACCTCTGTGCTGTAATGAGGCATTGACTTGGGGCTGTAGTCTAAAATGGTCATTAAAAATATTTGCGCAATAGTTGTTAAATGATGATTATGGACCATTTTAAAAGAGATTTAGTTCAAGTATTTAAATGGCAACTTGATGCCACTTGTTAACATTCTCCTCATATATAGATTCAGTTGTTTTTGGTAGCTAGGGACAAGGTGTTAATATACCTTCTGCTTTCCATAGCAAAATTTTCTTTCCGAAACAGTGATAGTGAAAAGAAACATTGACCTAGAAGTTCAGAGACCTATTTTCCATCCCCATCTTTGCTCTTGACTAGCTTGGTGACCTTGAACAAATCACTTAAACTCTTTATTTCCCAGTGTTGTTCATCTGTAAGGTGAACTAGAGATCCTAACACTGAAAAGAAAATTTGACCTTATGGGTATTACCGAGATTTGATGTGATGGAACCTCTACCTGGAGTCTGGTTCTGGAAGGGCACACTTTACTTAAGAGGAACAGAATAGGTGAATGGTAAGGGAGGAAATCATAGTAGCCCTACGAAGATGAGAAAATTTAGAAACTTGAAGGGAAGAATATTTAGATGTGTTTATCAGCCACATACTGTAGACCAATGGTATCATACTCATATAGAAACAGATCCCTATAGATGCATATTGACTCAGAACTCCACAAACTAACATTGTCTAGGTTGTACCGTATTTTTATTTATTTTGTTAAACATTTCCCAGTTACAATTTAATCTGGTTCCACACTCTGCTGAAAATTTGACACATCTGGTACTGAATGCGTAGCCTGAAAGAAGAGGTGGGTAAAGAGTTCATGAAATAAATCACATGCCTGGCACAGGGGCATGAAATAGTATCGATGGATGACTTGAATTATCTAGACCTCTGGAGCAATCTCCATGCCAAAAGAAGAGTAGTTGATAATTTCTTGGCTTGCCTTGCACTCTTCAAATCAGTAGAGGAACCAGTGAAGGTTGCTGCTGAGCTGGGAAGGATAGGAACTTTGGGGAAAAGTGACATTTCCATCTCAGAATTTGTGATAGAGGAGAGGAAAATTGGGCATAGGCTGACATTCACTCTAGGTTGTAGGAATCAGGGTAGGCAGAAAGGAAGGAAAGAGGCATTTATTAAGTACCTGCTATGTGCCATGCATTGTGCTAAGCCCTTTACAAATATTATTTGATCCTCACAAGAACCTTGGGAGGTAGGTGCTCTTACTATTCCCACTTTACAGATGAGAAAACTGAGGCAGACAGATTAAGTGACATGTGCAGGTCCCACAGCTAGCATGTCAGGGGCCAAATTTGAACTCGGGTCTTCCTGAGTCTGGGCCCAGCACTCCAGCCATTATACCATCTAGGGCCTGGATCTGTGATTTCATTGATATAGGAAGCTCCTGAATGAGAAAACTCTCTTTACCAATACAGGTTAGCAAGGTCTCTACAACTTGAGTTCAGAAATAAAATAAGATAGGATCTTGTAGACTGAAATTCAACAGGACAACTTGGCCCAAGAGGAATGAGAAACTCACAACAAAATGCAGAAAAGTGGATGTAGCATGGTTCTCTAAGATTAGCATAAGGAGTATGAAGCTCTGCATAAATTGAGGCTGGTTGCAGACCTATTAGGCATGCTGTGAGAGGGGGAGGATTTTGTTTTAGCGTGGCTTAGACTAGATGTCCTCAGAGGTTCCCTTCCTATGACATGTTTCTGTGTTTTAACTTTATATCCTCAGGGACTGGTGTAATACCTTGTGTATTAATAAATGCTGCTTAATAAATGTTAGTTGAATTGAATAAAAGACTTAATCAAACTCCTGTGGATTATTAATATATATTAATTTGAGTGAAGTTTTATCATGAGTTACTAAGTGGTCTGCCATTCAGTTAATGATGAGCATTTAACCAAAAATCTTAGGATAGCTTTGCTCTAACAAACTGAGATAACTTCTGTAGTGCACTTGTGTCTTTATATCTTGAAATGGTTAATACATCTTCCCAAAATGAAGTATTTATTCCTAGGGAGAGTTGAATTGAAAATACCTAATTGAATAGGAAGTTTATAGTCTTTACCAGAAGATAAATTTGTTCTTTCTTGGAAAACCAAAAGTATATTGCCTGTCTTTTGAGTGTGAAAAGGGAGAAAATAAAATTTCATAGTATTAAAAATCATTATTTCCTTTAAAAAACAAAACCTTTCCTATTCTGGAATTAAAACTAAGAAATGTGCCCTTTTTTCCTGCTTTTTGTTTCGCACTTCATTTTAAACACCACACTAACATGTATCTGCCTTATGTAATTGGCACATTTTAAATGGCAAGGTCATCACATCCACAATTCTTTGAAGTGATTTCTCTGGGCTTGCATTTGGTAATGCACATGCATGCAGTTCAGGGCAGGGACCAGGAAATTTCCTTTTCTCCTATTCCTCCTTTGCCTGGCTGGCCTCCTGGGAGCAATGCCTTTTTTTAAGAGCCTTAATATATATGTTTTAGAACACCTGTTTAACCTGAAGTTTGCTGCAAAAGAGCTTAATAGGAATGCCAAAAAATGTGATAAAGAAGAAAAAGCTGAAAAGACCAAGATTAAAAAGGTGAGTGTAATTTTTAAATTTTACACGTATGGCTCCTATGAATTATGAAACAAATGTCATGGGAACATTATTGATGCTTGTTGTCTTTTCATCAGTCATTTCCTACCTCCCCCCATCTAGATTGAACTTACCTTGTTAGAAAGAAAAACAAATAAGCTAAAACAGGTAATAAAGAGACTACATGTGACAGTGAATATGATATTTTGACCTCTCTGCTATGAAGGAGGAGCTTTGTGACTCATCTCTTTTTTGGGACCTTCACTGGTTTTTGGTTTTTGGTTTGTTTTTTTCCCGTTATCCAGCTCCCTTTTAATGACTGAGTTTTTGTAGTCACTATATGTTCTCTCTTGGTTGTGCTTTCCTTGTTCTACATCATCAGTTCATGCAACTCTGCCCATGTTTCTCTGAATTCTTCATACTCCTCATCTCTTACTGTAATGTAACTAGCATTATACCATAGTTTCTTCTAGCTGTTCCCAAATTGATGAACATCTACTTTGTTTCCATTTTTTTTTTGATTCTACAGAGTGTTCCTACAAATGTTTTTGCATTTATTAGCCCTTTTCTTTGGTGATTTCAAATGAAAACCAAATGGTTAGAATACTTCACTACTCCTCCAACAGTTTATCAGCATGCCTTTCTTCTTGTAGATATTCCAACATTGATTGTTCCTGTAGCTTTGTGTTTCTGCCAATTTCCATGTTGTGAGGTGAAACTTTGGTTGATGAAATGTGCATTTCTCTTACTATTTGTGATTTATAGCATGTTTTCTTGAAGTCATTGTTTTCCAGTCTTCTTTTGAAAACTATTCATAATAATTAAAATGCAGATTAAAAACTCTCAAATTTTGACTAACCACCCAACAGCTTGGGCAAGATGATAGAAGATGGTAGTAGTCAGTATTTAAGGGGTGAGTTGTGGAGAGATAAGCATACATAGTGGAGTTGTAAAGTGGTTCAGCAGTTCTAGAAAGAGATGTGAAGCTAAGAAAGTGACTAAAACAGCTATATTCTTGGACCAAGAGATCCCATGGGTTGGCATATGCTCCAAAGACAGAATAGCAAAAAGAGAAAGAAAGAGAGCATAAACTAAAATACTTATAGCAGCACTTTTTTAGTAGCAAAGAGCAGGAGACTAAGTAGATGCTGACCAGTTGGGAGATGACTGAACAAATTATAGCATGTGAATGAATGGAATATTATTGCACCATAAAAAACAGCAAATATAAGGAATGCAAAGAAACATGGGCAGACTTCTGTGAACCAATGTGAAGTGAGATAAGCAGAGCCAGGAAAACTGTACGCAGTGACTACTATATCATGGTAAATGGCAAGAACAACAAGAAGAGGAAAAGAGTGGAATGCTGGGCAGTTATAGTCATCATATTTGGCTCCAAAGAAGAGAAAATGGGCCTCCTCTTCTAGGAAGAGCTTGGGGGACTATGGGTGTGGAAGATTGTGTATACTGCCAGGCCCAGTTGACACATTGGTGAGTTTTGTCTTTTTTACTCCTTCTTATGAAGGATGACTCCCATGGTATAGAGGAAATGGGGAGACGTATATTTGAACATGAATACTATGTAAAAACAAACAACATTTTTTAAAAACTTCATGTTCTTTGACTACTTCTATTGATGAAGGACTCTTGCTGTTATAAAATTGTGTCAGTTCTGAGGTTAATATCTTTTCTGAAAGACATAGACAACTATTTTATGCAAGTATCCATTTCTTCCCTGGCCTTCTATACTTCTTAAATACCACAGTTAATATATTTGATTACATTTGAAAACAACCTACTTTATCTAAGATATCTGGCCTGGGCTTTTCTTGGTATTCTTTACTAGTCATTATGTTATAACTCTTCGAAATGAGTGCACTAGAGGGGCAGTTAGGTGGTGCAATGGATAGAGCGCTGGCCTTGGAGTCAGGAGGACCTGAGTTCAAATCCGGACTCAGACACATAACACTTACTAGCTGTGTGACCCTGGGCAAGTCACTTAACCCCGAATGCCTCACCAGAAAAAAAAAAAAAGAAGGCAACAAAACAAAATGAATGCACTAGATATTACCCTTTTGGCACCATCCGTAACTAATCCAGTGTTAGCTGTGCTCAGTTGTTTGTATAGGTGATATTAAACAATTACACATACCTTAGGTTGGAGAATAAGCCACTCTGAATGTATCAGAACTGTCCTCTTAACTGGGATGATGGTAGGAAAATCAAATTTAGAAAAGGAAAACTTTGCAGAGTGGTGAATTTGAAGCACATTTTCCACATACCATTGTTGAGTTAGGATTTTGTTCTTTCAAAGAAAACAAAACAAGAAACAAGTTTACCTTTTGGTCAGAGGATAAGCATGGAAAGTCCTACCGGATATGTGAGTGACTGTGTGTGTGTGTGTGTGTGTGTGTGTGTGTTCCTGTGATTGAACCAAAGGGCTTACACTAGTGTTTCATTGAAATGAACTAGGAAATTTCCATTATGCCAGACCATAGGTCCGGTGACAATAGAACAGTGAAGTGTAGTCTAGGTCTTTGTCTGCAGTTGAATTCCTCTCTGGAGTAGGCTGTTCACTCAGAGGCCTAGGTCTATGTCTAGGGTGCTGTATTGCTGTTCTGTCATCTCCTCCTACTCATCTGATATTAAACATGGCTTTGCCCCCCATTTCCTCTGTTCTCTACCTCTAGCATGTGTTTCAGTACTATATGTATCACAGTATAATTTGGCAGGCAAAAAAAGCTAATGAAATCTTAGGCAGCATGGAGAGAAGTATAAAGCTGAGAACTAGGAAAGCAATTGCCCTTTCTTCAGACCATGTCTAGAGTATTGTGGTCAGTCGTGGGCCTGTTTTCAGGAGGACATTGATCTGGAGAATCTGGAGAAGGCTAAAGGAGAATAAATAACCAGGATGATGAAGAGCCTTGTGATGATGTCATACATGAATCATTTGTAGAAACGGGGTGTTGAGAGAAGAGACAGACTAGTGGGAACATGGCAACTGTGTTCAAGTATTTTGAAGGACTATCATGTGAAAGAGGGATTAGCCTTGTTCTGCTTGGCTTTAGAGGGCAGAACCAGGTAGCAGCAGGTGCATGATGGACGCAAAGAAGCTACTTTGGGCCAGATGTCAGGAAAAATTTCTTGCATTGGAACTATCCTGAAGTGGAACAGTTGGTCTCTGAAATCATGGCTTCTTCTTCACTAGGGGGCTTCAAGCAGAGATATATGTGGCCTCGAGGCCTCAGGTTCCCCACCCCTGGCTTAGATCCTAGGCTGATAGGTTTCAGGCTGGAAAGAATCTTCGAAATCATCTATTTTAACAGCATCATTTTACATTTGGGAAACTTGCCAGGTAGTGAGTAGTAAGTATCAGAGGTTAGATTTAAACCTAGAATTTCTGGGTCCTTTCCTTCATACCTTGGTCCCTTACAAATTTGAGATTATGTGATTACCTTCTTGCAGTTTGTCCAGAATGACAACTTCTGCATTCTGTGGTCTCTGCATGCTCTAAGACCTCCGGCTGTTTCTTTCCAGGATTCTCTGGTTGCTCTCAGCATGCCATCTTCCCTGATAGGATTGTGAAATAGGAGAGATAGCTTCCTGGCTTCCACCTCAGGGAGCCTGGGGCTATTGGAGCAGCAGCTCCTGCTGCTAAAGCCCTCCCTGCTTCCAGGGGCCTTCATCAACCTGGGAACTCACTAATACCCAGCTCTGACTGGGAACACTGATTGTACAATCAGGAAGAGGTGAGAGTATTAGTGGTAGTTAGGGATTTCTTTTAAAGTCTTTTTCTTTGTCATTTTAGATAAGTATATAGGCTGCTTTAAGTGGAGCTTAATAACCACAAGACCAGCAGTTTAGGATGATGAGTTCTGAAATGCTTTAATATTCCCAAAGTACTTTCTTCCCATCAACCCAGTGGAGGTACACATATTACAAGTATTTCCTCTCTATTATAGTTAAGGAAAATTGAGCCTTAGTAAAATTAAGTGACTGGTCGTACAAAAAGTGTTGAGACTCAAGACCAAGTCTCCAGACTCCCAAGGCTGGTGCTCTTTGCCTGCATCACAGTATTTTTCTCTTATTCTCTAGCAGTTGACAATTTTAGTCAAAGGTTGCTAACCTTTAAAGCAGCTTATTTTTAAATACAGATTCTGTACCGATTTTAGATAGTTCTCTCTTCATGGGCAGCAAGGTGGCATAGTGGATAGAGTGCCAAGCCTGGAGTCAGAAAGACCTGAGTTCAAACCTGGCTTTAGTTACTTACTATCTGTGTGACTCCAGGCAAGTCACTAAACCCTGTTTGCCAGTTTCCTCATCTGTAAAATGAACTGGCAAGAAAACCCCAAATGGGGTCACAGAGTCGAACATGACTGGAAAATGACTGAACAACAGTTTCTGTTCTTAACGTGTGTATTTTGTTATATGTGCCTTAACTTTCCCATAGTCACCTTTTTATAATTTTTAAATAGGCCATTCAGAAGGGCAATACAGAAGTTGCACGAATACATGCTGAAAATGCAATCCGCCAGAAAAACCAAGCAATTAATTTCTTGAGAATGAGTGCTCGGGTAGATGCTGTAGCAGCTAGAGTTCAGACAGCTGTGACGATGGGCAAGGTAAGCAATCTGCTCTCTGAGTGAGGGTACCGCACTGTCAGTATTGGGAAGATGCTGAAAACTCTTGGTGGACAATTCCTAACCCAGTTAGAAGTTTGGAGATGCAAAATCATTTTCCTTTTAGCACTACCTGGCTTCTTTATTTTCACACTGTAACCAGATTCTGTTACTTTGAGAATATCCAGTTTTGTATCATTATAACCTCTAGTTTTTCTTTCCTCAAAAATAAGTGGAAGGGAAGAAAACTGGAAATTAAGGGCTACTATTGGAATACTATTTCGTACTTGTTATTGTTAATATTTCTCTCATAGTCCTGGCAATGTATTGCTTTTGCAAGGACCAGTTTCGATAAGTATAGAGAGACAAGCTGGCCACTGTGATGAATTCTTTTGCCATGGCAACTCACAAAAACAGAAAATGGCTGCTTGCGCAGGGAAGGCAACAAAGTGGCAGAGAGGAGGTCTGAGAGGGTCTCAAGAATCACAGGGTTTTTAGACAGTCTTATGCGTGTGGGTTCCAAAAGTGTGTGTACTTCCCAGTCATTTAAAAAAAAAAAAGAGGTTTAAGTTATACTTAGGCCTTTGGAACACCCTGTATTGAAGTACTGATACTCTGAGATAGGAGCAGAAAACAACATGTCACAGTGAATAGAGCCAGCTTTGGAGTCAGAGACACCTCCATTTAAGTCTTGTCTGCAACAGACTGGCTGTGTAACCTTGGGCAAGCTGTTTTAAGTTCTCAGGGACCCCATGTAACTCTAAATTTCCTCACATTAATGAAGTAAGTCCTGGCCCTTCCCCCTTCCATTTTCCTACCTTTCCCCCCCCCCCCCCCAAAAAAAAGCCTTGTCCAATTCATTTGAACTAATACTGCAGGAACTGAGTCATATCGGTTCTGACATTCTTGCTATAAATGGAGCCAGAAGAGACAAGGAAGTTGCAGCTAAATGAGAGGATGGTTCATAGGCTGCTCTTGGAGAGGCAAATCAAGTGATTTCATTATGTGTTCAAAGGCAACAAAAAATGCCCTTCCGTGGGGTCATTGGGGTAAGGGACCAGAATGTACTAAAGGCAAATTTGTAGCAAAAGGAGTGAGGTAGGGGGCAAGAAGGAACTGGTAATGGTATGCAATGTGCAGGGGTCAAGCAGCAAAGGTTTGGAAAATTTCGTGATGAGATTGAATGTGACATAGAGCAGCGGTGTCAGACATATAGCCCCCAAGGAACCAAATCAGATTCAAATGTAATTGGGAAATATTTAACAAAATAAATAAAAAATGTACATAATGTTAGTAAGTGGTTTTCTAATTCAATGTGCAGCCTGCAGGGATCCTTATGTATGGTTTAATCCCCCCTGTTTCTTTTTGAGTTTGACATCACTGTTCTACATCTCTCACATCTATCCTCCTCTCTCCACTCAGATGGCCCTAAACCTAATTGAGGTTTTCATCGTTTACCAGTGTGGACTATTGCAATATATCCTCCTTAACTGATCTCCTTGGTTTGTGTCCCCTTTCTAATCCATATTCCCAAACCACAAATCACTCCCTCATGTAAAAATCTTCAGTAGTTCCCTCCTATTTCTAGGATAAAATACAGAGTCCTCAATCTGTAAATTTAAAATGAGGTAAACTTCTCTGTAACCTAAGTCATTAGAGGAACCTTTGCAGAATTGGATGACTGGTTCCACTGTGGATTGGTGAACTCGTTGTTTCTTATTCTGTTAATAGGTAACTAAATCAATGGCAGGTGTAGTTAAGTCTATGGATGCTACATTGAGGAGCATGAACCTTGAGAAGGTAAAGAATTTAATTCTTTAATATTTTAATTATATTTCTAGTTCATGTGTTTTCCCCTTGATCATCTCTCTCTCTCTGTTTATAGATATCTGCCTTAATGGATAAATTTGAACACCAGTTTGAAACATTAGATGTTCAAACACAACAGATGGAAGATACTATGAGCAGCACTACAACACTAGCAACTCCCCAAGTAAGCAGAACGACAAATATGCTGGGAAGTCAGCTGCAAAATCAGGCCCTCTCGGATACCCACCTTGTCCTTTTGAACACAATTACCCTTGCAGACATTACCTTCTAGACCCCAAACCCTCCCTTCTTCCTAACTTCCCCATTAGTATTGAGGGTACCACTGTCCTCCAAGTCACCCAGGCATGCAAACAAGGTGTCATCCTCCACAAACCCTTCATAACCCTCGTCCTCCCACCTTTCCAGTCTTCTTAAACTTTCAACCCCCATCTCACTCAGCCTACGCCCACTTATTCTGCAATCCAGTGACTTTGGCCTCTTTCCGGTACGTAAGACTCAGCTCCAGGCATTTTCTTTGGCTGTTCCCCCTACCTGGAATGCTCTACCTCATCATCTGAATCTCCTAGCTTCTCTGGCTTCCTTCAAGTCCTAGCTAAAATCTCACTTGTGCAAGGAGCCTTTCCCAATCTCTCTTAATGTTAGCGCCTTGCCTCTCTTGATTATTTCCATTTTACCCTGTATATAGCTCAGTCCTGCATAGTTGTTGGCATTGTGTTTGTTCGCTTAGACTGTGAGCTCCTTGAGGGAAGGGACTGTCTTTTCCCATTCTTTGTATCCCTAGCACTTAGCGTAGTGTCTGGCACATAACTGACACTTAATAAGTGCTTATAGGCTGCTGAACTGAGACATGAATGTATAGTCAATTACAGGCTTGATTCTGGTTCAGAAAATTCATACTGTTTCTAATACTGTTTCTAGTCCAATTGCTTGGATAAAGAGCAGCCACATCAAAGAAATAGAATCTTGCAAATCAATTTGCCTGTAGGTGAACCACAAACAAAATGTTGTGAGTTCAGAATATCCAAATAGAGAAATGTTTTCTTTATTTTTAAACAAAAATTGCCTTTTTAAAAATAATTATGCTGAAATAATAGAGGAGTAAAACTGGATACCCTCAATTGGAATTATTTTTCTCTGCATTCTGCTTTTATCAAAAAGAAGCAAATACTTAAGAAGCAAGGTTTATGTTTAGGGGTTCTTTTTAAATAAAAATACAGGGTACTCCCATCAACCTTTTGTCTTGTATCCATCCATGCATATAATAAAATCACAATTCCTTTTCAGAGGGGGCAGCACAGTATGGTGTAGTCGACAGGGTATTGAACTGGAAGTCAAGAGTTCTAGTCCCGTCTCTACTTCTAACTCATCGTATGTTCTTGGGCAAGACACTTTTCCTCTCTGGGCCTCTTTGTTCATCTTTAAAATGAGAGGGAGCATGATGGAAAATGCTATCCACATCCAAAGAAAGAATATGGAGTTTGAATGCAGATTGAAGCATACTATTTGCTCTTTTTTTTCCTTCTGTTGTGTTTTGTTTCCTCTTTCTGGTGGTTCCTCCTATTGGTTCTAATTCTTACCTACAACATCACTAATGTAAAAATATGTTTAATAGGAATATATATCTATAGCCTATATCAGATTGTGTGCTATCTTGGGGAGGGAGGGGGAGAAAAATTTTAAATTCAAAAGCTTATGGAAGTGATTGTTGATGATTCAAAGTAAATTAAAAATTAAAAACAAACAAACAAAATAATAAAATGAGAGAGGGAGGGTTAGTCTTAGCTGATGTCTCAGGCCCCTTCCAGCTGCAACATTTCACAAAAAGGAAGACCCTAAGATTCCACAGGATCCCATGTCACTAGAGAGATTGAATTATGTCCAGTAGACTGGACGGGAAAGTAAACTCATTTTATCTTTTAGAAATGTTTTTCAACTCTGTATCCTAACTCTGTCCCTTCCTTTGTGATCCTGGACAAGTGATTTAACTTCGGTGGGCCACAGTTCCCTTATCTATGAATTGAGGCTAAACTAGAAGATCCTCTAAGGTCCCTTTTCTCCCACTCTAAGATTCTAATGGTCTTAAATTTAATACAAAATTGTTGATGGGTGATTAATTCAACTAAAAAACACCTGTTTGCTGAAAATTCATATATTTGGTAAATGTTTTGACACTCATTTTAATTTTATTCTTCTGTATATTAAAAGTTAATGTGATACTTGAACCAATTGGCAGTAAAAATGGATACCACCAATTTCATTTTTTAAGTAGAACTCATGTTTTACAATCAAGTTGCAACACAGTTCTAAAAATTCCTTGTTCCAGAAAAATTGATTTTAGTAAAAGATATAACTCAGAAAACAAGATATTATTTAAAATAAGATGTCAAAATGTAGTCAAGGTTGCTTGTATAGTCGTATTTTAAGGTTTCTCAAATTACCATTAAGGGAAATGATATACTGAAATGATATAGCTCCCCCTGGTGGCAAAAGTTAAATAATGCTTTCTAAATGGAAGGCTTGCTTTGAAAATTATAGATGACAGTCCACCTTAAAGGTAGATATGACTAGAATAAAGAAACAGTCATAAATACTACTGAAAAAGCAATCTTTTTTTTCTTCTAGAACCAAGTAGATATGCTCCTTCAAGAAATGGCAGATGAAGCCGGGTAAGTATGAGCCAGGACTCTATTTTAATAGCGTTAAAATTAAATCAAGAGTCAGGTAAAACTATCCTCGGAGAATATTTCTATGATTTTTCTGTTTTCATGAAAATGGTAAATTGCATAAAAATCAGGATGGAGCATTTGTATTTGCATTTGAGACCATATCTAAATGATTACTTAGAGCTTAACATAATTCAGTGTTCTTATAAGCCTGATTCTGTTTGTTTGTTTGTTTGTTTGTTTGTTTGTTTTTTATAATTACAGCCTTGATCTCAACATGGAGCTCCCACAAGGTCAGACAGGTTCTGTTGGTACAAGTGTTGCTTCAACAGAACAGGTAAATAAATACTGGATTGTAGCGTGATTGAATCCAGCTTGAATGATATTGCTTAAGGCCTTTAGGAAATGTAGAAATGCATGTATTTCATTTTCATCAGTGTGGTGTCATGTGACAGTTAAGTAAAGCGGGCCTTTGTCTCCTTTCCAAAGTCCTCCCATGCTTCATTTGCATGTACATTTGAAATCTAGATTGAATTTGTTGCTAATGGTGTAGCTGCATCTGGCCTGTTAACAAATTTCTCTAACCTTTATAAAAGTTCTCTTAAGCAGGAGTTTTTAACCTTTTTTGTGTCATGGTTCCCTTAGGCAGACTGGTGAAGCCTGTGGACCTCTTCTCCAAATAATGTTTTTAAATACATAAAACCAAATATATATGATTACAAAGGAAACCAATTCTATTAAAATAAAGATGTAATTTTTTTTTCCCCATCCAAGTTTGTAGACCCTCTCCCCCTCCTGAATTCTCTCCAAGAACTCCTTGGGAGTCCATGGACCCTAGGATAGTAGTTCCATCTTAAAGTATCATTCAACAAGCATTTATTAATAAACAAGTCAATCAACATTTATTTAAGCACCTCCTATGTGCCAGGCACTGTGCTAAGCACTGGATAAAGTTATAAAACTTTAATGTTGACCTTACAAATACATTATAGTCATTTTGGACACACAGTTTTAAATATTATTTAAAATGTGAGCTATTTGCGATGTGTGTGTGGTTTTATGTCTATAAGAATCATGAGACTTAGTGACTTGAAAATTTGCCTCTTCCAGGATGAACTATCACAGAGACTTGCCCGCCTCCGTGATCAAGTGTAACACAAAGAACTTGATGCTGCTGTTCACTACACTTACTTCTGAAACCTCCTGTGTATGCATGTGTCTGTGGGCTGTGTGTGTGTGTGTGTGCATGTGCATATGTGCGCATGTGCGTGCATGCATAGATATTTATGGAATGTTCAAATATTCTTGGTAGAACAAAATACTTTGGGCTTGCAGTTCTTTACAAATATGATAAGAAGTTCAAGGGAGCTTGAGCACTCTTACTAGACTTTTGTAGTTCTGAACAGTAGAGGTTGAAATGTGAAGGATATCTTCTACATGCCTCTTAGGTTGAAACTAGAGTTTAACTCATTCTTTTTGAAACATCTTCGTTAAACATTGAGTTGAAATTCTAGTACCACACTACTTCATCTCCTGTTTAGAATTATTAGTTATTAAGTTGAAACATTTTAAATCCCATGTTCTTTTTATCTTCACAGAACTGAAATGTTTAAGAAAAAAAAAAGTAGGAATGGAATAGGGCAAGGCAATCTTTCTCTCTCTCTTTCTCTTTCACTCATTTGCTCACGTGGCCCCATACACATCATTTACTACTTTGGGATGAACAGTACTGTGTTTATGTTGGTCTGCTTTTAGTCTGTATTCATATTTTAAGCTTAGATTACCATAGGCATTTTCACACCATATTGTGACTTCTGGTGTGTGTGTGTGTGTGTGTGTGTGTGTGTGTGTGTGTGTGTGTGTGTGTGTGTGTGTATGCATGTGTGTGTGTGCATGTGCTTGTGTGTTCTCTAAAATCTTCACGAAATAATCATCTTCACCCATAATTGCCTGGAAAAAAGTGACACATTACTTCATTTGCAGGAAAGATTCAAACTAATTCCTATTTGCTATTTGCAAGATCTGGTAGTTAACTCACAGCCATATTTGGACTTCCATACTTCTGTCTCTAATGAAATGATAAAATTGAGAGATTGTCTTGTCAGATTTTTATTAGCCAATATTTTTATGTTAATTTACATGGAACTCTTACCATGCACATTCCCAGGGACTGTTGTTGATTCATTTGGGGAAAATCCTGACCTGTTGTTTTGTTTTAAATAAGAATTTCGAGAACAAAGAAATCAGTAGTGCTTTTCTTGAAACTAAATGTGTTTGTCCAGTATATCTTAAAGCAGCACCTCGTTATTCATTGGGGCTCTTAAGTGGATCGGGAAATTTTGAATTTGGCCATACAAGCAACATCAACACTCATCTAGTCAAGTGGAAGTTAAAATAGTTTGAGGGTATTTGGGGTAGGAGCAGGATGCAACTGAATCACTGAACTTTGTTGCCCAGGTGTCCATTCAGCCTCTTAGAATGGCCGGTTTAGTTTATTAAAATGTGCAATTTTAACATGTAGCTATGATGTTTTAATTTAGTAGTCACCAAATGGTGGCAAAATAGTGAGTTACTAATACATTGTAGCAAGTATACAAAAGGAGGTTGAATGAGCACAGTGATTTGGGGGAGGGGAAGTTTATCCTCCTAATGAAAGATTTCCCCATAAAAGAATTCCATTGCTGTTCTTTTGTTTTGTTTTTTCATAAGAAAGTTTTATTGAGGAATGATTCTCCCTGTTGTGAGTCACGAAGGCATTCAAAGTGCAATTACAAGAGCCTTTTGCCAGACCTTTCTTAGCCAAGTGTTACCCATTCGTCCAAAGTATTTTCCACTGTGAATGAGTGTGTTTGAATCAAAAATATATGAACAAGTAAATGCAATGAGAAATAACTGCGTTGTTTGTTGAGCACTAGGCCCCGTGTATCCGAGTTTCTTGGTATGTGACTAGGATGTTTCTGTCTCTGTGTGGATAGCCTGCATTTTGTTGAGAGGGATGCTTTTTTTCTCTGTATGAAAGTGGTTGGTGTGTTTGTTCCTATTGAAATATTCTAGGGAGCCAGAGAAGAGAATTATCACAGACCGAAATGCCTATGAAGTAGAAACTCTCCTTCTTTTCCATTGTTGATGTATGTAACTTGGATAAAAAGATTATAATTAAAAATCTGTTAACTTGTGGATACCTCTTATTTGAATCTCTAAACTCTCAATCAAAAGGTGTGTTTTGTTTTTTTAAAGTTGGGATGCTATTTTGGTGTGGTGTTTAATAACGAAGCCTTTTGTATTGATTAAAAGCCAGTCAGAGTTAAATATTTAGCCAATTGTCACTGATAAATACCAAGCTTCCCTTTTAGACTACTATCTAATGAAATGATAAATTTATGATAAATGATACATGTGCCGTAAATCTAATACGTTTCTCATCTTAGAATTTATTCTTAACAACGTATATAATTTAAAGGCCTTGATTTGTTCATCGTATTTACAATTTAACGAGTGGCTGGGGAACTAAGCTAAAAAGTAATCCATGAGGGAATTACACTATAATGAGCTAAAAAAAAATCATTTATTTTCAGTCTTGGTACTCTGTCCCATCTCAGTTTTTCTCTATTTTTTTTCCAGTGTTTGAAAACCATTTTTGACTTGGCCACAGAAATTCAAATGAATGTTCTTTGCCTCCCTTACCTAGATTAAAACATCTTTCAGATAATTCAGTTCTATTGGAACATGGATCACATAGTCATTTGAGGGGCTTCCAAAGGCTCCCCCTGAATAAACACACTTCCTCCTCTCACCTACCTTGGTGCTCCAAATTCTTGATTTTGGGAGGCCAATGCATTCTCATCCAGGAGAGGGGAATCCCTGAGCTGACAAGGAGGACTCAAAGTCCTGAAAGGAATGAGATCAGTATGAACCCTGACCTGGAAGTCCCTTTGCCACAAGGAAGGAAATTTTGCTGGAAGAAGAGGTTCTAATTCTTGTCCTTGAGTACTTGTGACAGAAGGAACTGCTGAGCTAGGAGGAGGGAGGGATTCAGAGGCCCAATTATCAGGAGGTCCTGAAGCAAGTCTTCTCTCCTGTTCCAGTTTACTTGCCTAATAGGCTTGGGCCTGTCAGGAAACCCTTCCATTGCCTTATTTCTACAACAGGAAGGAAAGTAACTGGCCCCCTTCTTTTTTCATAAAAGTGGAACTGCACATTTATTGAAGAAACCTGATTCCTTTTTTGTTACAGGTGTTATTCTCGTAAAGTTACACCTCATCTCACCTGTTGTGGATAAGGCTGGGGAAAGGATGAGGATAAAAAGCTATGAGAAGCCTCACAACTAAGGTGAGGATGCTTCCCAGTCACAGGGGTCAAGATAGTGTAGGACAGTGGAAAAAACACTGCACTGGGAATCAAGAGAACTGAGTAGTCATAGGCCCAGCCCACCACGGAATCTGGGGTCACCCTAAGCAGATCAATTCATAAGGGTTGCCTAAAGTAACGCAAATGTCAGTAGGGCGAATTGGAACCCAGGTTCTCTGACTACAGTCTATTTTAGGCCTCATGTTCTCCCTCTTAAAATGAAGGGTTAAACTAGATGGGAGGGTGCAGCCAAGGATTCTTGATCTTTTTTGTGTCATGGATCTGTGATGAAACCTATGGACCCCTTATCAAAGTCACTTTTAAATGCACAAAATACATAGGATGACAAAAGAAATATAATTAAGTTATACAAAAAACTTTTTTTTTAAAACAGTGTCAGACCCTAGGAACCTCTGTGCTAGATTATCTCTAAGGGTCATTTCCCAGATTGGACATTGAGCAAAAACATTGTTTTTACTCATGGCAAGGTCCTCAGCTGGACTGTTTTTGGTTGTTTTTTTGTTTGTTTGTTTGTTTTGTTTTTGCTATACTGTTCAGCTGGATTTTGCTGGTTACAAAGAAATGCTGTTCTCTTCTCTACTTTTGTGCTAGCAGAGAATGTATTTCCTGATTTGGTTCCAGCCTTGGGCAAAATTAGAGAATTCATGTTCAGTATCTTCAGCCCTCTTATAACCATTTCTCCACTTTTATTGTACCTTCTCTACTCTCTTTACCTCCATCCCCAAATATACATACACACACACACACACACACACACACACACACACACACACACTCTCTCTCTCTCTCTCTCTCTCTCTCTCTCTCTCTCTCTCTCTCTC